GGTGACAGTGCAGACAAGCCGCACCAGGGAGCCATAGCGGACGTAGCCCTCTCGAGGTGGGAAGTCCCCTGGGGAACCGCTCTCCTCAGCTAGGGGGCAAAAGAAGGGTGGGGAGGAGGAGCCCAGGGGCCCAGGCCTGCCACATGCCACTCAGAGCCTCTGCTTAGGGTTGGCTTGTGGGGAAGCAGCTAGGGCTGAAGTTCTAATGCAAGAGGGGTCCCTGGTGGCCATCCCGCAGATGTCTGCCTTTTGGAGTGGGGTTGGGGGCCAGCAGTGGCTGAGTTGAATGTCAGGGATAAAGCCTGGCTGTTGGCATGGCTGAGCCTCAGTTAAAGGTTGGGTGGGGGGGGGGGGTGGCAAAGGTACCATCCTTGAGAGGTCGTAGTGAAGATTACATAGGTATTACCCAGGTGCAGTGTGAAAGCAGCCCACTGGCGGGCACTGGCCACAAAGGCCCCATCCTCCACTGACAGGTAGCGAGTGGACACCGTCTGGGAGCGCAGGCGGTTGAAGAGGGAGACCTTGGAGCCCGAGGAGATGCACACTGTGAATGGAGGTGGAATCAGGTCTTCACCTGGCTTGGCCCTTTGGATTTGTCAGACACTTCCTGTCCCCTACGGAGCCCTGGTGGCGTAGTGGTTACGCGCTGGGCTGCTAACCCAAAGGCCAGCAGGTTGAAACCACAAGGCAGGGCTTTCTACTCCCATGAAGAGTTACAGCCTTGGAAATCCACAGGGCAGTTCTGCCCCCTCCTAGAGGGTTGCTGTGAGTCCATACCAACTGGACACCACCTGGAAGGCGGGGAGTTTGATGCGTTCCCATCCTCTGTCCCCAGGGCAGAGCCTGGCTAAGCACCCCCTGAGGACTCACATCCCTGGGAGGGAGGCTGCTGCTACCGGAGACTCCTTCGGTTCAATAAACAGCCTTTCATCGCTGTGTGCTAAGTGTCTCCATAGCAGACACTGTCCTGGCCACCAAAGGGTGGATTCGGTTCAGTTTTTTCTGTTTTGCTTTGTTTTCCTGGAATAAGGAAGCCCTGCTGCCAGTGAGGAGTTCGAACCCACCAGTGCTCCATGGCAGAAAGATGTAAGTTTATAACCTTGGGAACCCCAGGGGACCCTTGGGCTATGAATCTGAACCAAATGAATAGCAGCGCTCGTGTTGGGGGGGGGGTTTCTTGGGACCAGCCGACAGTCTTGGAGGGAGACTGGGACATAAATGTGATATTGCAATATGGTGTGGCAACCCAGGAGGGCACCCTGGAGGAGGAGGGGAGCTTCTCAGCTGAGTCATGAAGTAGGTGAGCAGTGGTAGAAGTGGCGACATAAGCCAAGACCAGGCAGTATGGACCAGAGGTATAATATCATTGTTGTTAGGTACCATCGGGTCAGTTCTGACTCATGCAAACCTTATGCACAACAGAAGGAAGCGCCGCCTGCTCCTGCCCCGTCCTCATGATTATTATGTGTGAGCCCATGGCTGCAGCCACGGTGTCAGTCCGTCTTGTCCAGGGCCTTCCTCTTTTTCACTGCCCCTCCACTTTACCAAGCATGATGCCCTTCACCAGGGACTGGGCTCCCCTGATAACACGTCCAAAGCACACGATACCTAGGGCTTGATACTTGTCATTCTCTGTCTCTGTTTAGTTTTCTGACTAGACTGTGGCCAGCCAGGGAGGAGCACACTGGGTCAGCGCCCTGTGCTGTTTCTACGAAGCCACACCCCCGTCCACTGAATCACAACCGCTGCCGTTGGTAGCATGCCAGGCACTGTTCCCAACGCCTTCGAAGTACTAACTCCTTTGATTTGCTCAACAACCCATCTAAGGTAAGATAATCGGAGCCCCCCTTAGCAGGGAGCAACTTGCTCAAGAGCACACAGCGAGCAAGTGGCAGGGCCAGGAGTCAAAGCTAGGCTGCCCGCCTCGAGATATTTTCACTCTGAGCCACTACACTAAACCACTTACGGCTCCCTGGCCCTTTCCTGATACCAAGAGCTAGTGAGAGCGCTGCCCGGGTCAGAGGCCTCTTCTACAGGCTTTTAACAGCCAGCTAGCCAGCCAGCCAGGGAGGTGGAGGGGTAGAAGCCGGACTCCAGATTCTCTATGGATTCAAGTTCAAATCCTGGCTGGGCCACTTCCCAGGCCCTGTAACCAGAAGGTGACAGACACTTGATAAATGATTCTTAAATGAGTATATGTGTGTGTGGGGTTGTCCCAAACCTCACTTTGCTCATCTGTAAAATGGACTCCAGGCTAGTACCTGTCTCGCAGGGACCTGGCAGGCCTCTAAGAGCCTGGTGCGTGGAAGTGTTGGCCAGGGGCACGCACGCCTCCCTATGATGACAGTGGGGGTGTCCTTGGGATATAGGCATACTTTTTAAAGCTTCCGGGAAGCTCCCAGCACCCGGATTTGTCACTTAACAAGATGGAATTTGTCTGAAACCACCGGCTGGGTGTGTGTGTCTCTCCTCCTGGTAACACACAGGAACCATCGATCGAAACCAAACGCACTATTTCGACTCCTGAGGATTCTGTAGGACAGAGTAGAACTGCCCCTGTGGGTTTTCTTCGCTGTCAATCTTCACCAGAGCAGAAAGCCTCAGCTTTCTCTCATAGAGTGGCTGGGGGGCTCGAAGGGCACAACACATAACCTAACCCACTAGGGCACTAGAGCTCAGTAATTAGTTCCAATGGAATTTCCTCCACCCTCTTATCACGTCTCAGGAGTCCAGGTGGCCGCTACCTGGTCCAAGTGCCCGCGAGGCTCCGCCCGTCCTCTCGGCTCTGCGACCGCGCCTCCGAGCTGCCCGGCAGGCTCAGGTGAGTCATCAGGCTAACCGATGGCTTCAATATCGGTTCTAAACCATCAGCCTTTGAGCAGGAGAGATGCGGCTTTCTATCCCCTTAAAGCGTTACAGTCTCAGAAACTTGGGCGGGGGCAGTTCTACCCTGCCCTATAGGGTCGCAATGAGTCGGCTGCGACCAGATGGAAGCGGGTTTTTGTTTGTTGCTTGTCACTTCTAAGCCCGTCCCCAGGCCAGAGCGTGCTGGCCCTTTCTTGTCTGCCCTGGGACCGCAAATTCTCACCCTCCAGGCCCACAGCCCCTTACTAGACTCCGCCCCTCCCTCAGCTCAGACTCCTCCCAGCTCCCTTCGACTCCACCCCTTGGCCCAGGCCCCGCCCCTGCTCACGATCGGTGTTCTTCAGCGACTGCTTCTTCTGCGAGGGCTTCGAGATGACCTTGATGTGGCGGCTGTGGAACGTGCCCAGTTCCCGGCCGCCGCGGAGCACCAGCCGCAGAACCAGACGGAAGTGCTTCCTCTTGTCCACGTCGGAGATGAACAGGGTCTTCGCGCAGCCGAATTCCTAGCGGGCTCGGGGAGTGGGCGTGGTTCAGCCCCAGCCCCGGGCAGGCCGAGGCGGGAGGGAGGGCCAGCCTTCCCCAGTGGGTTGACGTCCACCCCCGTCGAAGGGACAAGAAGTGCCATGACCCAGGCCTCGTTCCGTCTGTCCCCTTTCCAAGGGAGAGACGTGGGTGGGAGCAGCAATGGGACCCCTCCCAGGCCGCTCTCACCCTGGAATCCGGCTGCTCCTCGAAATTCAACCTTTGCGTCTCGGCGGCGCTGCCCGATGCGCCGTCCAGCCCCATGTAGCCGCAGACTGTGGGCCCGACCTCCCCGGCCTGCAGAGCTGGAGAGAGACAAGGGGGGCGGGGTGGGGTGGGGGGACCTCAAAGGGCGCAGGTGCCGGGCAAGGCCAGTTCTTCCCACCAGGGGGTGCGAGAGCCCGCGTCTGCGAGCCGCCGGCCGCAGAGCCTTCTCCCTAGGGCGTGGGCACTCAGGCAGCTCACCTTGGCCTGGCACGGGCTTCACCCTCCAGCCGGGCCCGGCGAGGTAGACACAGGGCGGGGGGCAGAAGAACCTGCGGAGACACGAGGGCCTGGAATCGTAGATCCACCCTCCCTTCTCTGGTGAGACCCTCCGAGGTAGCGGAACCCTTGACCTCCCCCCTCCCTTTTTAGCCCTGCCCCGCCAGACTCCTAGAACCACCCGCTGCCATTGAGGGACCCTACAGGGCAGACAGAGTAGGACCGCTCCGTAGGGCGTTCCAGGCTGTCATCAGGACGGGAGCCGACTCCCTCCCGGTAGGTGCAGCTTTGTGCTACCTGGGCGCCTCCCTGTTCACTGGTTTGTGGGGCGTTTATTGTCCCGTTTCCCCCACGCTAGAATAAATGTGCTCCTAAGAGTGCTTACAATCTGAATTACGGTGTTGGCGAAGAATATTGATTATATCTCGGACTGCCAGAAAGATGAAGTCTGGTTTGGAAGAAATAAGACCAGAGTACTCCTTAGCCGTGAAACTGGAGGGACCTCATCGCCTACACGTTGGACACGTTATCAGGAGGGACTAGTCCCTAGAGAAGGACATCAGGCTTGGTCCATTCGAGGGTTAGCCAGAGAGACAGACAGACAGACACCCCCACTCGGAGCGGATTGACACAGTGACTGCAACAATGGGCTTCATAACAAACAGCCACGATTGTGAGGCCGCTGCAGGCCTGAACACAGTGCTCAGAGGTCACGGGGCTGCGTTCGCACAAACTGACTCCGCAGCGCCCACTAGCGAGAGTAGTGTGTCCGCGGTTCAGCTATGCCCATCGTGAGCACCAGGCGTGATACACACTAGCACTCGGTGAATTGCTGACTGACGGAGTTAGTGAGTGAATGGGGACCAGAGATTCACAGGGAAATTCTTTAAAAGTAAGGAGGTCTCCTGGTGGTGATGTGAAAGGCCGGTAAGCTAAGTAAGGCTTTGGCCCTGACATCTCCAAGGGTCTAAAAGGCACTGACCCCGAGGAGGGGCGCAAAGGGCCGAGGGCCTTGAAACTGGGCGGTGGCGTTGGAGCACCGACCTCTTCTCGTTTCCGTAAGATTTCTGGGCCACTTTGGCGTGTAGGATCCGCACCGTCTGCTCACAGGGTTGCTGCAGACACCGGCGCACGCCTTCCCGCAGGACCGTGGCGCGCTCTGGGGATGACCTGGGAGCAGGAACAGGAGCGGTACAGCCTAGCTGGCTGGCATGGCGCCCCCACCCGCACCCAGCGCGTGGGTTACATGACAGGCAGCCCGGGCCGTGGTGGGATTCTCTCCATTCCTCCCCCGCGGGGTCAGGGAGAGGAAGTTCTGCCATGTAGGGGACTCGGGCAGCAAAGCAGGGTCTAAATATTTGGGCTGCGCGGTGCTCTTCGAGGCCTGCCTGGTGCCCACCTGGACCACCCAGGCGCCTCCCCGCGGGTCTGGCTCCGTGCCAAGGGCGCTCTGGACACAAAGGCCGCACAGGTGCGGGAGGACGCACGGCTTCCCTGCCCCATGAAGGAGCGGTGTTAAACTTCGCCACTCTGGCGAGGTCTTACATAGGGAGCGCTTATGTAGGACCCCCCAGCCCAGCGCGTCCCCTCGCTAAACCGAACGGTCACATCTGAGATCTTCTGGGCCTGTCGCTGCCCAGGTTTCCGTCCCCTGGACCATCGGGCCGCCCCTGGCCTGTGCCTAAGAGCTGTTGGGCAATCTCGGCCCGGGGGTTTAGATGGGTGGGAGCGGGTGGGTTTAAGCCGTCAGCCCCGGAGGGGACCGTGTACAGAGTCCGTGATGGGGATGACCTGGGAGGTCATCAGGTGGGTTGGGGCGAGTCTTGAAGCTCCAGTCTACCCTCCAAGCCCTTTCCTGTCGTGGTAAGGCGGGGGCCAGGCCTCCCCGACTCCGGCGGCCCGAGCCGGGCGCGCCCTCGGACACCGGGCCAGGCCGCCCGCGCCCGCGCCAGGTCCCGCTCCGCCCCC